TTTTACGCGAGTTCTGCGAGTCTTTCGGAAATAGAGAAAAATTATCATACTCATGCGGTTCAAATAACACGTATAAAGAAACGTAGAAACGGGTGTTTGTGGAAAAATTTGCCTCGCCGCGCGCGCGTTAAATCCGTAGTGGCACACATTATGTCGACGGTGGTTGCTCTTGCATACGCGTATCGCACAAACACATGTATACACTGTGCACGTACAGTACGACAGCATATGCGTATGAAATAATATTATTTTATTTACACCGTAGACGTGCTATTGTCCTCTCCGCAGGGTAGTACATAAAATTCAGTACGGAACGCACCCGTACGTACGTGTGTGCGCGTGCGCGCGCGTTTGTGTGAGAGACCGTATTGTACCTACGAGCCGCCTCCGGTGGAATGCGTGTCGTTTATACGTACATGTATATCTGCACTCGATATACTATTGTTGTGTGCGTTCTATTCATTTTTGTCTTTTTTATTTCATTTTTTTTTTTTTCGTCTATTTTCGTCCCCTCGTGTTGTACGTTATACGGTCGTCTGGCGTGTACGTCTCTGTTCGGAAATGTACTGCTCCGGAGATGTATACACTGCGTTCGGCGTCTTCCCAAAGAACGTCTTGTGCAGGCGCCATCGGCCCTGGGCGCAGTTTTGCACCCGTATCCACAACGGATGTTTACCGTAAAAACAGGCAAAGTGCCGAACGTTGTTGCACAACTGCAGCATACACCCAGAAAACCTACTCGTAGTGCGGTTGTTACGCACCGCATCATCTTCTCGTGTTCGTCTCTCGGTTATCGATTAATTAAAACCCCGAAATTGGAAACCGGTGTTTAATGTTACAACAAGCGCGCGCACGTTAATCTGTATCCCATCGCAGTTGCCTTCACGTAGGACAACACCTGTTTGCATCGTTGCCGCCGCACCGCCTCCGGCAGGTGTATAAGCCTTTCGTTCGATTGCGCAGCAGTTTTTTTCTTCTTATTTCGTCCGTTTACGGTATAGGTGCTCGTTGTTTTTTTCGATAACCAATGGATTTTTCTTTGTTTTTCCCTCCCGTTTGTGTTTCAATATAATATTTTATATGCAAACGTTAATTAATTTCGTTTGCCTACCTTCGTGGCGATCGATATTCAAAATAAATATCTATCGTGAATAGCAACTGGATATCGCGTATTACATAGAAATATAACAGTCATAATATAACGTTAATCGGCTTTCGGCTATTTGTTGTTCGTATTTTGTACGTATCTATATACCTATATGTATTTATTTTTACACAGTACCACTGTTGAACTTTGTTGCATATGTATGGTATTCGATATCGTTCTTGTAAGGATTTTGTTGAATAATATTATAAAATTATTAAATTAAATTAAATTAAATTAAAATATTAATATTATATAGATACTACTATACTGTGTTCAATCCGTTTCTTATATTTTATAAATTTTTTTTCGCAAATCGTTTTCGTACGCATTCATTATCATCCCATTTTCCAATATGGAGACTGCTGCCTTGAGTACGGTATGGTCACGTTTTTACTCTAGTAAATGTGCGCAAAAAAAAAAAAAAAAGATAGGATGAAAGATGCTTGAATTTAAATTTTCCATAAATCCGACGGGGCTATGGCTGCCGCATAAATAAATACTTTTCATATTTCGTTATTTATATAATAATATTTTTCATGTGTACGCGACAACGCGTTTCTTCTCCAGTAAACGTATTATTAAAAAAGTTTGAACGGTATAAACTACAACTTTTTTCGTCCGCTATTGTAAGACTATGTTGTTTTTTTTCCCGAAAATGCATCAAAACAAAAACGCCACGATTCTCGACACCATGGTCGAATTTGATATTTTCTTTCGGTATAGAGGTCATTCGAATGATATTCTCCCGTGACAACTCAACACACACCCGCGTGAAAAAATTCATAAAAATCCTTTCCGTCCTTATTCCTATTTTTTATTTCTCCTAACGGTTATTAATGTACTGAACGTGTTACAAACATCTATAGCACAAAAATACAAAAACTATCGGATCGAATACTATATACTCTTCGCACGTACTGATGGTCGTCGTATGTTTTTGTTCCAAGTTTACGAAAGTAATCTCAACAAAATCCAAAGCGTATTAAAATCATATAGTTTGATCATTTTGAAAAACATTCCATCTGTCTTCGTACTCCAAAAATAGGAAGATAAAATTTAGTTTTTCTTTTATAAATCTCTTCATGATCCTATTTATCCGCGTTATAAGTATCCAGTACACACTGCTTCGAAGATTTCGTCGTTTTCTGGTCGTTCGAGTCGCTTATGTATTCATCATAAATACATATTAAAATATTATTCGGGAGTTTAAATATGTATAAGTATATTTATATTATAGTTATAAATATAAAATATTAAACATTTAATGGAGTTACGATACTTAAATGGACTACAATACTTCCCGTGTTTCAATCATTTATAACATCGTGTGCAGTTAACATTTAAACGTGAAAACATAAAACAAAATCTCATCTAAGCCTACATCGACCATTCTAAACTAGTTTTATGGCAATATAAATCATGTTTCGTGAAAACCTGATATTTTACATAATAAATATTGATGTTAAATTAATTATATAACATTATACTTTTATAAATATTTATGACTTGTTTTAAAATTATTACTGTTGTGTAATTAAATTATGTAAAAACAAATCATATTTTAAAGCTTGTATATAAATATAGTAATAAGTTCCGAATATTTTCTTCGTTTGTTGTTTACATACAACTGGGACATAATATCAATCTATATAAATTAAAATAAATAAATAATTATATATTAATTTTATTGCAACACATAGCATTCGCAGTTATCGACGGGAAAGCAACGGTGATTAGTAGGACTAAATGTGCAGTAAAATCATACCAAAGTAATAATAAATTATACTTACAAACGTGAAATAATGATTGAATGATGTAAGATTAAGTATATATAATTAAAAAAGAAAAATAACACAATATATTTACATGCAATGTATTTCATGCGTAAAATTCTGATAACGCGTAAATGGATTAGACATTTATTTACTGTATAATTTAAACTATTTTAGTTGTACTTGAAGCACTTAAAATCAATTTTAAACTGCTAAATGGATTCGTATGCATGTCTGCAGTTATTATTTATTTAATACAATTATGGAAAACACTTGGGGAATGATTTTAATTGTAATTTAACCAGCTTGTCAGTTGTTTCCCGAACTCATACCTTACGCATATCACGAAAATTAATTTTAAATTAATTGACCCCGTAAAAGTTTTCTTATAATTTAAATTAAATCTGTCTGCGCGATTATTAATCGGAGGTAGGTGTAGGATATATTGAATTAGATTTTATGACAAGTTACGCGACATTTCGAAATGAATGATTCAGTAATTTCGAAAGCACTATGAAAACAGTAATTATTATTTGATCATCCTTGTCTCGAAAATACATTTTATATCATAATATACAGAAGCTGCGCACATGATTAATAACACCGACAATTTGGCAGTACTAGGGAGACGATATGTAATTCGGATGAAAACCGTATCTTTTTTGCTCTTAACTTGTAAAAGTTTTTTAATAACAGTTGTATACCTTTCTCAGACCTCACGCGCATTGAATAATATTAGGACTGCTGTATATTTTTCGGCACGCCGTTTTATTATGCCACTCCACGTAGACGGTTCTTTCTTTCGTTTTGTTTTCAACATATCGAATGTTTATTAACGGTTAGAATACGTATAGTGTGGCTAGTTGGTTGGTATATCCATGCACGTGCTTTTTGTTTGAAATGTAGTCTGTGTTGTTAATAAACCCAAGTCAACTCTGTGCAACCGTATATAAAGTCGGTGGTTTGTGTCAGAACTTTTTCCCGAAAACTTTATTGAATTCTACAAAACGATGGTTGGACGTAAATAATTTTTAAATTAGTTACACACTCTTTGTCGACAACGCTGTAGTAGTAATTTCCTCTTATATCGACTAAAAATGTGTTTATTTTTCTATATTTTTTTCTTTTCCGAAATTAAGCGTTGAAAATCACGAAAATTAATTGATAAATAGTTCAAACTTCTGTCACAGTTTTCCAAATGTCAAAGATACCGTTAATTTCCGAACTTTGAGATTTCCGATTTATTTTGTAGAAGTTTTTCAATACCATTCGATGTTTCGATTCGTTTTATCATTATTCTTTATTGAAACTTTGTCAACAGACACTAAACCTAGGGAGTGTTGACGAATTTCGCAATTTTTAATACTCAACATGATGTTAGAAATGAAGCTGGATTAATTTTCTTTTTATTGTAAAACTATTTATTAGAGATGTAATGTATATTTGAATAATTGAATTATTCGAATATCAGTATTCAATGCTACAATACTTATTATTATTAAACGTTTTGTGTTACGCGAAAACTTAAACGAATAATTTTCGTTACGTATTGTACTGTAGCATCAAATACTGATATTCGAATGCTCGAATTATTTCCGCTAGACCTATTCGAATATTCGAATTTCGAATACTTGAATAATTCCCATCATTGCTATTTATTATCGTAAAACATATTTTTGTGATTTCGCTCCGAGTAGTGTAACAGTATAATATACAACTATACTAAGCATAATTATAACAAATTTTATCGTGTTGCGTTTTTCACATTGATATTATTTGGGAACAACACAAAATTACCAATGTCGTTAAAAAAAAAAAAAAAAAAAAAGAAGCTTTATATAGGTAATTATATTTGTATGTAGCTTATTATATTGGACAAATAAAACAAATAAATATGTCGTTTGAAAATCGGCTAGAAAAATTAGTCCGTCCGTTGATGAGAAACAGTTCTTCGCTTACATCGTTTAAGTCGATTGATTTACGTCCGCTAAGTAAATTATGTACATTTAAACGATAGTGATGGTAATACCGATTCGGCCACGATGAAACAATGATTTGATCGAAACGTTACGTTTTCGCAGGTTTCGTGACTCCGGTGGAAGTGCATTTCGACAACCCGGATGGCGGATTCTTCGTCCGTCACCCGATGGTCGGCGGCTCCGGTAGCGGTCGTCAGCAACAGCAACAGCAACAGATGGGCGGTGACGACGGCGGGGCCGTGCTCAGCGTGGACCGGTTCACCGTTTTGCAGGACGTGCCGCAGACCTCGATCAGGGCCAGCTACGGCCCGTTCTCCACCAAGCAGACGGTGCCGTCGCGGTACCTGATACCGGACCCGAACGCGGCCGGCATGTCCGGCGGCGGTAACGGGACCGGGACACCGGCGGGCGGCCCGTACGCGATCGGCGGCGTAGTGGCCGCGGCCGTGGACATATCGTCGATGGACGTGTCCGCTCACTTGGTGCAGAGGCGCGTGTACCGCGAGACGCCGGTGGTGCGCACGCTGTTCCACGTCGGCTACAGCGTGGTCCGGTCGCAGTCGGTCGCGTCCGGTCAGCCGCCGCCGCCGCCGTCGTTCGCCGAGGCGGCCGGTGGACCGCGTGCCTCGTCCTACGGTAAACTGTGCGCGGTCACCAAGGCCACGTTCGACGGCGCGGAGCGGCCGGTGACGGCCGCGTGCAAGCCCGACCCGAAGGACGGTGTGTGCACCGCCCGACTGGTGCTGCCGGCCAAGTGGTGGCCGCCGCTCAACCCGCCCGACGCCAAGCCGGTCAAGACACCGCAGCGGTACGTGCACATCTCGTACGCGCTGCTCGAGTCCGACCACCGGTGCAGCCAGTCCGACGTGCAGCTCCAGCCGTTCACGTACATCGGACAGGCGTCGCTGGAGCACGCCCAGCGGTCGTACAAGGAACTCAAGACGGACGCGTATCTACTCATGCTCGTGCCGTCCGTGCCGCTGTACCCGAAATCGTTCACTTATGTGCCGGTTTTCTTCGATGCCGGGCCCAAGGAACAGAACATCAAAGGATTTATACTCAGGTAAAAAAAAAAAAAACAAATACCTAACCGTGTGCCGGGGAAGAGGAGGGTGGTACTTACCGTTGTGCATGCTGTGGTGATGTTTAAGAAAATCAGGTATTTTACTAAACCCTTAGGCAAATAATCGCGAAAGATTTAAATCTATGCGATTTTACTGTCGACTTTTAGCTAATCGCTTTGTACAAGCTAGGCAAATAATAAAATTTAAAATAATAAAAGATTTTTGAATCATTTTTGTTGTCATCATTTTCTTATTTCATTTCTTATTAATAATGCTCTATTGTTATTCTAAAAGAAAAACTATAGTAAGATATTATTATATACCGACGACACATATACAAGGCGTATTATTGTGCAACTCGATTATCGGTTATTTATTATTTGGAAACATTTAATTTTATTTTTCGTCCGTCTTTTATAATGAAATGTCTATTGCGTAGAGCGAAAGTCAAAAACGGCTTGCGTGTGTTGAACGCCGAAAACAGCAATCCGGAACGGTGGACTATCAACTACACGTCGAACCCGAAGGGCACCCAGATCACGGTGACGGCCGTACACAAAGGGCTGCCCAACACCGGGTCGACGTGGCCCAGTTCTAGATACGAGGAAGTATTGCAGTGGCTTTTGCAAGTGGATTCCGAGACGGAGGAAGTGTGGGAAGAGGGACGGGTCGTGTGGACCGTTCAGTACATCATGGAAGCTACGAGCAACGTTACCAATTGGACTTCGGGCGCGTCTTCGATCGCTTTGCCTAAAATCGACCGGCACCGGTCTGCGTACAAACATCACCGGCGGCAAGCGGCCGTTTTGGCCGGCCAACGTCGGACAGCTAGACTGTCAGGCGTTGCCACTAAAATGCTCTACCTGGACGGGGTTAACGGTGTTTTGGATGGAATCAAGCGCAAGATTTCTGCCCGGTTTGAGATACACAAGGATGACACCGAGGCCGTACTCCCTATATCTAAGGTAAATTTAATAATATTATACCTTGATAAATAATGTGATACTGCAGCTTGCTTCGTATTAATTTACGAATCGAAATTAAACTATGTTTATGTGATACCGATAATATATTAATATTTTTACTTAGGACGGTTAGTGGTCAGTTTTGACGTTAGAACATAACTATCAATTGATTCTGATTTATGACCTATTTTTATTAGTAAATTCTAAGTTTTTTTGGCGTTACTCAAAAAACAAGTTAGGTAATATAAAAAAAAAAAAGTCTTCTATGATTATCGGGAAAATATTTACAGTATCAATATCATCTTTAGTCGTTTCTGATTAAAATTTAATTAAAGTTTGTATGTTTTACTCGTAAATCGAATAACTTTGTTGTTTTCATTATACAACATATTGTCTTAAATCTAGCTACTGTAAACATTCGAAATCCGTTTAGTTTCTTCATCGTAACTTCTAATAATAGTCACAGCTGTTGACGGTGATTTTCTCACGATAACACGTGCAATTGAAAATACCACCCTTCACTTTTGTCTACAGCGTAATAGTCATTATACAAAATCAACTGAAACCGGGGCTGTATAGAATACAGTGAAGTCTCATTGTGTTGTATAAATTCCCAATCTGTGCATTTTACGGTCTTAACATTTTTGCACTGTATTATTTTCCAATGAAACTCTCAACTGTGTGTGTATTAATAACTAACCAAATAATATATATTAACATACAGTTGATCATAGAAAAACAAACGAACTCGTATAACCATTTCTTTTTAGTGCATTACACATGAAGTGAGTCGATTTATAAAAATTTTATGTTTACTGTCCGAGATCTGACCATTTACAGCGTACGTGGTTTTAGATACACTATTATTCTTCGAATCCTTGGAGGGTAGTTAACACGCCCGTGTGTTCCACGCTGAACTCGCCTGTTTATGACGCGATGAATCACCATGGAATGGCAAAGGGTTTGGTATAAAATATATTCTCTATTTTGATTTCATGCTATATGGATATACACACAAACATAAACATACATGCACACCTAAGGGTGGACAGCGTAATGATTAATAGGAATGATAGATTTGTTACCGGGGACGTGGAAAAGCAAAATTTATCATCATCTGGCCCTGTTATATCTGATATGTTAGGTTTATGAATACATTTCTATAAATTATATGCTGCATTTTGATCCCTCGAGGATTCGTTATTACCGATTTTTACCGGGGATACGTGGTGATTACGTGTTCCAGTAAAATAATGTATAATGCGTACCGCGCAATATCATTACAAAAAATTTAAATTTTCATTTATGGTTTATTGTATCTCGAAATATTTATCACATGATTTTCGTTCTTGTAGAATTGGGAAATCATCAATACAGCCGTGTTGACCGGAAAACAGATATCGCACGCCATGAAGGTGTTCGTGGTCAGTTACGCGGGCAAAATTTCCGACGTCACCCGGCAGTCTGTGTGTCAAATAGAAGATGACAGCGTGCTTAAAGTAATAACAATAATTTCTAAGTAAATTACGGTCACGTGGTATACTTTATTAACTACGAACGTTATTCAATTACAGGTAACTTCATCTTGCAGTTCCGTTTACGTGGACGGTTCGGAAATCAGAGGGTCGTCGAATGCAACAGTGATTGTGAAATATGAAACGTACACTGGCACGGCTCATTTCATCGTATGGGTTCCTGAGATAAACGAAATGGATTTGACAATCGCCGATCAAAAACTGAACCAGATCAAAGGCTGGAGAGTGCCTGCGAGTTTGGAAGCTGACGACGATATGGACGAGTAAGTCGATTACAGCAATATTTGCAGAAACCACGTGTAGTTGACTTTATATATGGTATATAAAACGACATGTTGGTGCTGTTCACAGTTACGTCAACAAATTGAAAAGGTCTGCTGAGGTCAAAGACGTCCACATGAAATCCATACCGGATTTCCGGTTGAATGAAATGATTACCGAAGACATGGTATCCGACGAGTACGACAGAAAGACCAGCTGTCAGTTAAGATTTCAACAAACGTCAGTTGAGGTAAAACAGCATTTTTCTTACGAGCAAATCAAATGTATTTACGTACCGTATAATACAATAGATACATTTGATGCACGATACTTCGTATTGTACAATGAAAAAAATCCTGTATTACAATAATACAATTATATTAATTATTAATTAACTTATCCGTATTAAATAATAATAACACTACAATAATTAACTTCTTTTTGAATAAAACATTTACTGGAATAAATTATTTGATTCTTTGAAACACGGCTTAATAAATAATTAATGTTCATTATGCCGTAATACAATTGTATTAGTCTATATTATCCCTAGTTAATAAAAACTCGGAATTGTTAAAAAAGTTTAGAGGAAAACAATTTAAACGATTGTACTATATAATCGAGAGTAACAAACAAGGAAAACAGTTTTTTTAAAAAAATAATTTTCCGTTCTTTCGTTTTACACGATAAAAGAAAAATGTTTTTATTCTTTTCAGTTTCTTAACATATACAATTGCCATTTGACCTTTATCATTATAATAAGAACATTTATTGAATTATCTATGATACTTTAATCTTAGTCGTGAAAAAAAAAAATATTAAACGATTTTAATAAATCTGTGTTGAAAATTAATTTTTTTTTGCTATTAGGTTAGTTAATTTTTTTTTACGAATTTAGCTACGTTTTCTATCATATACAACTTATAAAAGTATATATTTTGCAAACTTTATATTACATTAATTTTTTTTATTAATAATTCTTAAAAACATATTATCAAAATGAAAAAAGTTTTAATACTACAACATTAAAACATTGTACACTAAAAACTGGAGTTTCGAAGAATTGATGCTATAGGGTCAATTCTTTTTCAGTAATAGTTAGAAAATAACGCACATAGTCAACGTTAAGTTAGCATTGCATTTATAATAATGTATATATTTCCATAGAAGACGTATATTATAACTCGCCGGAGGAAAAAAGTAATAATTATTATTATAATAAAAGTTTACTGCGTTACAGTACACTTACGAGCAGGAGTAGACTGCTGTAGAATTACAGTTAGCATACAATGTGTATACGGACGGATATATATGTCATATAATTCTCCGTACGTACTCGTACATGTCTTGAACGTTATTACTAGGGCCAGTGGCGTATCCAGGGGTGGGGTTAGGGGGTTATAACCCCCCTTGAAAATGTTTAATGTATGTATATTGTCTATTGATTGTTATAAAAACACACAAAATTAAAAAAAAATTGAATGTTACATTTTTTATAACCCCTCCCAAAAAAAAAATTCTGGATACGCCACTGACTAGGACTGGGATTTTAATGCAAATAAATCTTTTTTTCTGATGTTCCAATGCGAAGATCCATAAGAAAGATCCATAAGAAGAAAATGTGTTTCAAGTGAAACTTATTAATTTGATATGGTTTTATTTTGCATTTTTAGGATATATATTGCTGTTTTTAGGAAATGTTTCAAGTTTTTAGAGCATTTTTCAGAATTTATCTATACATTCTTAATTATTATGTTATTTGATTATGCGTTTTGGCATTTTTCGCTCAAAACTTACACGTTTAGTATGTTGTCTACTATGTACACACGAGTATATACCATTAACTTATTTTATCAAAAATATAATAAAATTAAAGTAGTCGAAAGACATTTTTCTATTTACTCGATGATCATAATAGTAAGTTAAGAAATAAATTAAATTTAAATAAAATTAAATATAATTAAATATGTTTGGTAACATGATTTTTATAATATAATTTTAAACTATAGTAAATACATTTTTATTACAAATATTTATAATTCATTTTTTTTTTTTTTTTAGAAAATGTTTTGCTATTTTTAGAATATAGAATATTATAATCCCAGTCCTAGTTATTACAGTATACTCGTATATAATATAGATACCATAATCCTATTTGGTTTCCGAGCACGTATAATTTCATTTTACATCATATATCCCAAACAAATATATTATAAATCATGTAAAATAATGTGCCCTCCATTCAAAAAAAATTCAAAATATAAACACCACAGTCATGTACGGATCTTAACATGTCCTGAATAAAAACAGGAAGCGAACGATGATAATAATAATAATCGTTAGACCGACAGTGCGCTCGTTATGCGTACAATATAGCTACTTGTTTACGTGCTCATTCCTGTGATCCTTGCAGTAAGGATAGATGCTCATTCTGCCTTAGAAGTGCTATAACTATGTAAACTATAACAACAAACTAGCAGTGTATTCAAAATAGTTGATCATACCATATTTTACTAAGTTAATTATTTACAATCATTATTTACTTCCATTAATCGTTTTTACCTTCTCCAGGGTCTCTTAACTTCCCATTATGTCAAACTGCCAACTAAATTACCAAATACAAACTCTTCCTTAAACCGATTTAGACGTACGGAATTCAATTATGGAGCTTCGTAAAAATCACTAATATCAAATGTATTTAGCGTTTCTAGTTCAAAACCCTTCGTGCTATAACTAAAGTACCCTTCTACGTGTCAAATCAGTACTTACTAAACGATATAGCCATTTCTCCTATCCGTGATGCATCTAAAACCTTTTACTGACGTCTTAACTGAAACATATAACACGTCGAAAATAATGTAATCAAAAATCTTACGTCAATAAATATACTCGGTAATCCGAAAATAAAAGATTATAAGATGGTGGTGTTGGGACCAATTAACCTGGTACCCAAATCGTTCTATAAAACATTAATGATACTGTGTAAAGAATTAAAGTTTTTTTTCTTGTATTCTTTTTAGCCTAGTTTAAAATTTAAATTATTTTTAACTGCGAAATTGCGTTCGCTATAAGATATCTTGAATCCGTCCTTCCTGTCGAAAAATCTATCATGTCATCAAATACTCATTGTTCAGGCTATGCAAACAATTGTGAATGCAATATTAAGGAATAAAAAAAAAAACTTTCTATCAGGTCCATTGCAGCCATGTAAATCGATTATTATATTAATTTGTATTAAATTCGAGACTGAATAAGAACAAATATTTTTATTACTATAATATATAACGATTTGTTCGCAGATATACGCGAGATTCAAGGCGACGGACCACGACTCGGGCCGGGTGAGCTACTTTGTCAACCGTCGCACGTGGTTGAAGGTGACCGATCTGCTGCTGCACTATCTGCGGTCGTCCGACCCGCGGGTGGCATCCATCACAGGGCAGATCGTCCGCGGTCACAACGTGGGACGTACCGAGGTGCAGGTGATATCCGCGCTGTCCGGTCACGTGCTCGTGTCCAAGGAAATCCGGGTAGTCAGCGACAAGGTGACGGTGGCCCGACTTGCGGTCAACGTCGTGTCTGGGTTACAGCTGAACATCCGGCCAGACCCGGCCGTGGACAACAACTACATCGCGGAGACGTCGGTGACGCGCAAGCTGACCGCCAAGTACCAGGAGGGGCTGCTGGACATCGATCTGTGGTTCTCGGACGACACGCGCACGCCGCTGCGGTCTGTGGCCATGTCCGAGTACGCGCTGCGCGTCGAGTCCACCAACCCGGACGTGGTCGCGTTCGCCCCGATGGCCGCGTCCCCGCACCCACGCGTCATCGCCGTCGGCTCAGGCAAGGGCCAGCTGCTTCGGGTGTCGTTTGGTCCACCGGACGCGTGTGGCCGGCACGAGGTGGCCGGTGGTGGTGGTACTGGCCCGGGCGGCGTCCGCAAACCCGTCCAGTCGACCATGCTCAGCGAGACGGCTGCCGAAGTTCAGGTGGACTTTTCATCATCACCGTATTCAGTCGAACAGTTCGTACAAAACGACGGCGGCGGCGGTGCAAGCGTCGGCGGCAGTGGCGTGCTAAACGTGGGACCGCCCAGGGACAAGAAGGATCGTAACAAGGATTCCGCCGGTGGTGAGTTTCTGCTGTACACTCCTGATTTTTCCCGTTTTCACTTTCACAAATATATTTTTGTTCGTCGACTCACAGCTCACAAACGATCCCACCCAACCTTCGGTGGTTTCGAAAAGTGATAAATTTTCGTTTTTACTCTTTTCCCTTTAGAAAGCCATTGTTTGATAACCGTTCGGAGTTTTATATCCGGTTAGCCAGGATATCATTTTTTCCAATATTAATTCCATTTCGACTCTTGCTGGTTCGTTTCGCGGTACAAACGAAATTACGCGAAACGTCTTGTCTGGACAGAAACACAAATTGCATTACGCTTTCTACGAACGGTTCTCGGTATTTTGTACAAAGTTCACTGCAGCGTTTTCCAGAAACGAAACTGACAACGCCATTAGTCGGTCGCAGTTTTTCCCCCTTTATTTTATTATCGCTTTTTGATGTTATTGCGCAACATTTAACTTCATTGTGCACGACGACGACATGCTGCCGTCTTCTCATTTCACCACCATTATTTATTTTTTCGTATTACGAACTATATTAGTGTAGTCGGGTCGATATCGAAAAATAACGGTCGATGTACTTAGACAACTTTTAGTGCTAAAACACACAAAAACAGCTCGTATGCACCAATATGATATAAAACTTTATAATGAATAATATAATAAATGTGCCTTTCATATATAATATAATTATATGTTGCCTACTATTTACGTTATCGACATGATTGGGTTTAAATCCGTGGACTCGTAATATTCATTGGCGTTCACGTGAAACTTTTTGTATTATTTTTATCGACTTTTATGTTTTACATTTATCGTAAATATTTTTTGTGAACGAATGTTTTCTACGTAACACGTATTCAATTTTTAAAGACTTTTGGTTTGTACCTTTACTGTTTCATTAATGTGATAAATTATTTAAACCCGCAATAGCTTACAGTTTACTTACGTGTATATAATGCTATGTTAATATATTTTCTTAATTTCACTGATGTTGTAAATATCGTTATTAATATTTTCAATAATACGGAGGTATACATAATCATTATTTTTTTTTTTTTGTTACAAATTTCATTATTTTTACTATTCCGTGATGCTATAAATCCAATAAAAGCACTCTAAATTACTTTATCGTAAATCCATGATTATACATTTTAAATAACCAACTTTCAAATTGTGTTTTTATTGATGTTCAATAAGTAGAGCTAAAATTAATTTAACACAAACACACACACACACACACACACACATGTATATTAATGTACATTCTCTCACTATAATTGGATTAATACAATTTATTATTTTAGACCGTAGTATTTCATTTATAATTGTATTTATGGTTATTCAGGTAACATAATAAGTTTAAAAATTTAATCGAAAATAGTTTTGTTAACAACTTTTCGCTTCAAATAGATTTAAAAAAAAGCTTATGTATCTACTTTTTTTTTATATTAATACGAATTTCCTTATTAAATTTATACTTGATTTGATTTAACTTATAGGATTATAAATACTTCTGCATAAATGATTTAAACGAATATTATTGATGTCTAATGGTGAATTTTATCCGAATAATTACAGGATTGGCCGGCATCAAAGACGAAAACAACGACGAGCCAACCGTACAAGCCAGACAGCATAACAACAATATCAACAGTAACAATAATATCGGTGTTGGGAGCACGACAGTACATGCACACAAAGTGCCCGCTCACGTGAGCCCGTTCGAGCTGGGCATGTACACGCTGCTGGCCGCTCTGTGCTTCGCCATCGTGGCGTTCGTCATATCCTGCGTCGTCTACGCGTCCAAGTACAAACAAAACTCGTTAGAAATGCCCACCACTACATTGATGAGTGAGTACATTTTTTATATTTCGGTTTTTTGCGCAGCAATAATCAAGTGTTGTGCGTGATACGCAGGTTCGTAGATAGATCTTAATTTCATATGGTGGATGGGGGAAGAGTGTATAAAAAATTTCATTCTATCCACTCTAAATTAGAACTTTTTACAATATTCGATAGTTTATATTGAATAGTAATAAATACAATATTCATAGACTCGAAGGAAAACTTTTAGTTTTTAATTTTGTTTCGAATCAAGAGTATTTTAGTTAAATTTGAATTATTAAGGATTTCGATTTATTTATATACATTTTGGTGGTCTATACCTTACGGAGCCCCTCAAATCCTAAATAAGTATCTACCGACACGTGTCGTTTTCAGTATCGGTTTACACGGCGATAATGTAGTTGTACTCTAAATTATAAATGAAATACGTTTTACAGCGAAATCGTTCATGGGTAACGTGAATGGGACAAAGGACGTTGGCGGTTGCGGTGCCGGCGGAACCAAACCTCTATCGGAGGAACCTACTATGAACGCCCACGACTGGGTTTGGCTAGGCAGATCTACGTTAGAACGTTCGTCCGGCATGCTCGTACCGTCGATAGGCAACAAATCGCACAACAACAACAACAACAACAGCAGCACCAGCAGCCACGTGAATGAACAAAATATGAGAATTATGTCAAATCCGATATACGGTGTGGACAACGTTAACAGCAATAGTAACTGTGGTAACCAACAACAGCAAGCATGCGGTAGAAATTCTCCACCGCCAATCAATACTTCCACGTACAGCGTCAAAGACCGATTGTCCAATGGCAATATCGTTTTCAACAAGTTGTGGAAAGTGTAAGTGAAAGTCGGACGCGACGCGACGACCGATTCCCGATCGTTAGGTTTTCCACAGAGGGCCACTGTGATTTTGTCGAACGGTACTCCTGACAAAAGTTCTAAATCGTAACTACCGCTGAAAATATACTTTAACGCATGCGCGTATATTATGTATGTGTATATTTATATTCGGACTCGAGTGTGAGAGAAAGAGAGAGATATGAAAGATCGATCCCTCAAATTTTTCATTCCACGAATACGACTTGGGAGGACGGAAATCATACTCAGAGTCTCGAGAAAGAAATCATTAGAACCACGTGTCGCCACACGCCTGCACCCCATTCCGTTTTCGATACGAACGTGACTTTCCAGCCGTAATGATAATGATGATAACTAAAGCGCAGAGTTTTATGGATTTGCATATTTATTCTGATTGATCATATTATATGCTAAATGAGCAAAACATTAGTTTAATAACATAACAATTTAAAAAATGAAACTTTTTTAGCGCATATTTTTGCATATTTTGACATTTTTCTATTTTAAGGGCTTATTTTACAATTTTAATAGCATATTTCATATTTTAGCACATATTTCGATGTTTTTTGTTTTTTTTAGACATTTTTGAAATATATAGTATTATAATATAAGAAAAAAATATTATATTTTTATAGTTTTCATTAATATCAAAATAAATTAATAGGTATACTTGTAGGTATAAACGGTTTTCCCTAATACAACTTTAGATCAATAATCGGGTAAATAAAATACGTATACTAAAGTAAGATAATAATATAAGAAGATTTTTTTTGATAATTTTTTTATGTTTATTATATTTTTATTTTTCGTGTATATTTTAACATTTTAGTGCATATATTTATGCATATTTAGGGGTTTTTTAGCGCATATTTGGTTGGTTTTTAATGCATATAAATTTGCGCTCTAATGATAACAATAATAACACGCAAAAACGCAGTTCGTACAATACAATAGTATTATGTATACGCTCTTTTCGATTTAATATTCGAACGTCTGCGATGGTATCTCACGTGCATCAATCGATCTTGTCTAGCGACGGCAGCGTGTACAAGTGTTCTTTCGTTGTTTCCGATCGGTTTGGCTACCGTGAACCTGCTTGACGCAAAGTGAATTCAAAATGATCAATCGTGTTCGTTAACTGTTCGGAATCCCGTTTGAGTCCGTTTTTGGTGTTCCGGCAAAGCGGTTTATTCGTTTTCGGCCAAGTCCATATCTGGCGCTAATGATCGTCACTGTTTCGATAGCTACATTTACGGCGATCGCACATTAAACTGCGATCATACGATCACACGCCGATCATTTGTGAATTGTACGCCACTCGACCGAAAATAATCATCACAATTCTCCCCTTATGTTACATCAACACGTGTCGCATCACTATTTTGGCGCTGACGTCATCGTTACAGCTGCTTAAAATCACGCACATACCATGTTGATACGTGAGGTTAAATCATTTTCAGGGCTCCTTCGCGTAATTTCAAAATATTTATATATTATGTATACGCATGTATAAATAATAATGATTTAAGTCGACCAAAAACTTATTTTACTATTCAAGGTCATCTTCATATTTTTTTTTTTTTTGATTTACACCATTAGTCTTCAACACTTGCAACAAAAACATTATTATTATTCACCCTCGATTTGTTTTGCTTCAAATTATTATCTATGAGTTAACAATGCATCAATATTACGTTTCGCGATCTCAAAAAGCTTCCTAACGGAAGAAACGAGTAGTCAGAAATCATTCATTAACATTATATAGTCGGAAATTTTATTATAACTTACAAAAACTGGTTGAATTTTTACATTTTTTAATTCATTATAATTACTCAAAAAAGTGTACTCGTACTTGTCGCTTTTGTTTTGTTACCATTTGTAAATAATACTTAAATTGTGTCTCAGAAAACAACTGTTTTTACTCTGTGGAAAAGATTTTATTTATTTTCATAGCGCTGGTTAATTTATCAAAATACATGAGTTTATTTTAAATTTATCATATAATAATAGATTTTTTATTAAAACCACGATAATTTTAAGAATATAATTTTTGTTTTAAGCTCTGATTGGAAATATACTCTTATATACTCTTATTTTTGCTTTGTATATAAGTTGTGTGTTTTATTGAGTAGCAATGAAAGAGTCGTTTCCCTCCATTGCGATCTATGTTGTTTGTATAAATGAAATAAACAATTCATCATTCAAAGCGTTCGACTGAATAATTCAATTTGTATTTATGTATACATTTTCTGCTTCTCGTTATTCCACTTCACTTGAAACTTTAGTTTTCATTTTTGGCACATAGTAAATATTGATGCGCGCACAATTTTCTAACCGTACATTTTTAGGCAACAGAAGCATACAGTTTTAAACCACAGGGGGATTGTGTTTCTGTACAAATGCGTTATGGACCAAATCGAAAGATAAAATCGGAATATCGCATTAATTTGACCCAATATGTGTTATTGCTGCAACTGTTTGCTTTCGATTTGAACGTTTTCCGACATCTGCGTTTTCATTTGGGTTTTTTTCTTTTCATTCCCAGTACACCATAGGCGTCACTAAGGGATATCGAGGGGTATCTTTGCTACTCCAAATATTGTTGTGGGGTAGCAAGGGTATCTTTTTGCTACCCCAAAAAAAGTTATAGATTTCAAAAATATATTCGAAGTTTATTATTCAAGTGTGTATGAACATAGACCATCTATTATTGTGATTGTATCGAAAATAATTATATTTTATGATAAGCTTAATACGAACAATAAGACAGTGTATACACTTATCGTCGTACCAAGATTTATGAAGAAGAGTTAGCCAGTTAAGTAATCCAGTTAAGCCAATAAGCCAGTTATCATGTTAAACATTTATTTTTGACTTTTTAAAAATAAACTTTGCTACCCCAAAATTTGGACTTTAGTGACGCCTATGCAGTACACGGTGAGTTGTCCTGCTAAGTTTCTCGCACCTGCGTACAATTACGCTTGTACGTCGAACCGTTGACCATGTGCACGAAAACCGCGTTCGCTTTGAACGGCCATTACGTTGACGGCATTATGTGGCACCACACGGCTCCATTTATACGCGTATTCTTACATGTCCCGTATGGTTTTGCCGTTTTCAGACTTCCGACGCCCAACGACCAGAACCTGGAGAAGCCGACCGACTACAGGCCGCCGGTGCCGCCGCACAGATCGCAGTTGAACGCGGACCA